ATACCTCCTCCCCAGACCCCAGCAGTGTGGGAGGGTTGTGTGCTCCAGAAAACACTGTTTGGGCCTCACTCACACTGAGCTCATCAATATGCTGTTTGCGCAACAGCCATTTGATGTCCAAGGAACCCTGTGGGCCTCATAAGGTTTAAAAATTTTTTTTATTTGAACCAGAGAGCTTAAACTTTGCCAAAAGCAAATGGAACTCAGATATCAAAAGGTCTGAGTTCAGTTTTCACTGAAGACAAAGGGTGAGTAGATTGCGAACCGAGCCAAATGCAATCTCCCACCCTTAATTTACAGTACATTGTTTTGGCAGACTCTACAATTCTGAAAGTTGGCTTTCTTTTCCCATTCCTCTTTAGGGTGTAACCATAAGCCTATCTTTTAGTTAAGTTTACAGAGAAAAAAAAAGTCATATTATATTAACTTACGAAGCGAGGCATTCACTCATCATAGTTCCTATAACTATCAATTTCACTAGAAAACAGAGAAACATTTGGAAAACTTAAAAAACTCTCCTCAGAAGTTGTATTTTCATTTGCATTACTGCAAATATTTCATTATCAAAGTCTCTTCACATGGGAGTTTATCGAAGGAATTCTGTCGTAGCCCACATCTCAGTATCTGTAGAATCACTATTTATTGGAATTCTTAGATTTGGAAGATGCAAAATTCTCCCATTCTGCCTCCCAAAGAAGAAAGCAGAATGAGGGGTACTTATCTTTTCTTTATTTTGACAGCAATGGAGATTGAACTCAGGGCCTTGTGCCCACAAGGCAAATACTCTTATCACTGAGTTAAATTCTCAACCCTTTACTTACAAAAAAAAATAAAGTCTAGGTATGTGTGAGCATGTGTAGCTGAGTGTGAGTGGAGGTCAGAGAACAACTTAGAAGGGTTCATTTTTTTTCCTTCCATCAGGTTGAGCCCAGGGATCAAACTCGGGTCTTAGAGCTTTGAGGCAGATGTTGTCATGCCTGGTTTGCAAACCCCAAAAGACCAGGAATAAAGAGACTCGCTGTAAATACATGAGGTTTTTTTTTTAATTGTATACACCTTCGAACACGAGACACAAACCTGTGGAAACAGAAGAGGAATGCGGCCCGAGGTCTAGGGGTACAGAGTTTTTAAGAAACAAACAAACAAACAAACAAACAAACAAAAACCGTAAGCAGTGATGTACATGCTTTGGCATTATATGATTGGGTAAAGGAAATTGACTTTTGAAATGATTGGTCCACTTTAGGTGCCAAGACTGCAAACAGTTATGGCATGGTCATATGGGCTAGTTTCCTAGCAACTGTATAATTAGAAGGCAGGGAAAGAATGCCGAAAGATGAGTTCTTCCCCTCAGGGCATTAGTGGACAAGTCTGCATCCAGGTAGCCTTAGATTAGGCCTTAACCTTTAATAATAGCTGCTAATTTTTAATCTTTTGGTCTCTCAATGTCTTCATGAACTATCTCTCCAGTCAGACTGCCAGACTGTCTCTCTCCTCCTCTTTTTCCTCCTCCTCCTCCTTCTCTTTCTTCGAGATAGAGTTTTTCTGTGTAGCCATAGCTGTCCTAAACTCACTTTACAGACCAGGCTGGTCTCAAACTCACAGCAATCCTCCTGCTTCTGCCTCCCTGAGTGCTGGGATTAAAGGCATGCACCATCATGCCCAGCTTTTTGTTTTGTTGTGTTTTGTTTTGTTTTTGAAAATGGGTTTTCTCGGAGTATCTCTGGCCATCCTGGTACTCACTCTGTAGACGAGGCTGGCCCTGAACTCAGGGATCTCCCTGCCTCTGCTCCCCTAGTACTGAGATTAAAGGTGTGAGCCACCTTGCCCAGCAGTTAGGAGTCTTTTTGATGGCAACTGACAGAAAACCCATGTCAAAATGACTTAGGAACAAAAGGTAATTTTTGGCTGACACCCGAAAGATGCAGTGGGAGACGTGGTCAATGGCCAGCAGGATCAGGGCTCAGGCTGTCATGAGGTCTGTTTCTCTCCTCTGCCCTGCCTCCCTTTGCTGCCTTGCTACCAATGGAAGGTTGGATGCAGAGCCAGCAGCTCAGGCTGGCAGACCAGAGCAAGGTCTCATTCCAGCCTTATCATGCAAACCTTACTGTGTGTGCCAGTCCCTGAGCAATCTCTGCACCATTGTTGTGGTTTTGTGTCTGAGCCACACAGTCCTCTCTGGAACTCAAATGTCTCACCTGGACCACACAGACTGAAAACGGAAGGAGGGAAGAGGGCCGGAATGACATTGGGCTCCACAGATAGCATGGTTATCAGAGTGAATGGTGGGCAGCCAAAACACCCACTTAGACTTTTAGAACTTGCTTTATGTTAGTTTTCTAGAACTTTCATAACAAACTGGCACAAATTGGTGGCTCAAAACCCAGAAACTTATTGTCTCAATGTTTTGGAATCTGGACTTGTAAGAGCAAGGAATAGACGAGGTCATTTTTTATTTTTTTCACTTGAGAGATACTCTGTTCTTACTTCTCTCTCAGCTCTGTGTGGTTTGCCTGCAATCTTTGTTCCTGGCTTGCAGATGCATGACTCTGATCACTCCTGTCACGCTAGCATGGCATTGTTCCTGTTTGTACTATGTGTCCAGATTTCTTTTTTAAAAATAAGGACATTAGTCATGTCAGTAGGAAACTGTCTGTTCTGATACGATGCTGTTTTAGTTAATCATATGTCCAAGTATGATCAGAGGAACTAGGAATAATCTATAATTTTTTATGGGGGGTGGGCACAATTCAATTCAGAATGTTTTCACACATTTATTGTTTCTGCTTGAGTCTAAGACCCATTTGACCTGCATTCAAATGCTACAAACCTGTTGCCCCCCTCTTTCCACTGAGAAGGCTAGAAGTTTGGATGAGGCCACTTCAAGGGTCCCTTACCTAGAACCTGGTAGTTCTGTGTATGGGACCTAAGAACATCCTAAGGCCAGAGTGTCTTAGACTTTTCATTACATATGAGCTCAAGAACTTTGGGGAATGAACTTGACCTCTGAAATCCTCAGTCTTCAAAACCAGTAAAATGAGCACAAATAGTTGCTTGGTTTATTATTGGGTTGTTGTGGGCCAGACAGCGTTCAGTCCATGTCATACTTAAATATCATACTTAACCCCTCCTGATCTCACCCTCTCACAATGTTTTCAGAGTTTCCTTCCTAGGATTTCTCAAAGACCATGAAGGAGGCTTTGTCGTCTTACAAACGGGAATTTAGTCTAGTTCAGGCACTACCCAGTCCTTTCCCCCTTCCCTCTAAGGCCGGTGACATGCATTTTGAGCCAGCTCCTGCTTCTTGGCAATTGCACTAAGAATTGCTTGCTGCCTTTTGGTTTCACTTACAACTCTTCCCGGTACTTCCAGCTTTCTCTCTTGTTATTCTTTTGGGCGTGGGCAGAAGCCAGTCACTTTGTTTACAGTCTCTCTCTTTTTTGGCTCCATAAACTTGAGGAAATGAACAGACACGCCGTGCCACATATGTTCTTTTCCAGCTTGTCCAGGTGCTATCTCAACACTACCTGGGACCTTCAGGCCTCGAGGTGTATGAGGACTTCACCAAGGTCAATGCAGGAGGGGGCAAGGATCAGTGTTTAAAAATGTGGTCACTTTCATTTAGTGCCAGGTGTTGTTCTAAGTACTCCAGGGAACAACGAACAAGAGAGCCACTGTCCCTGCTCCTGACAAGTGTGCAATCTGGGAACATTTCATTTCTGCAGCAAACATGTGAAAAGGTACTACATGTCAGCTTGTTTTTAAACAGCAAACAACTCCTGCACCGAGGGCTACGCTACGTGTGTAGGGTGGAGAGATGGGGCGAGATAAACTCTAAAATGATAATCTCACGGGAAAGAACAGTAAAAGCTGTGTGGGAAATTGCAGGTTCAAGGAGACCGACGGTGTCCGAGGTGGGTAACAGTTTCATTGAGGGGGTGACACTCGAAGAAGGGTCCTCAAGGCCAGAGAAGGCCAGCTTAGATGGAGTAAAGTGAGTTACGGTATGGTGAAGAAGAATTTTCATCCTGAATAAAATCGTAAATAAAATAATTTCCACCGATTTATACACATGAGGATCCTCTGCCCAGGGAGTGGCTCTGCCTGCAAGTAAAATGGGCCTTCCCTTATTAATTAACAGTCAGGACAACCCCCCCAGACAGGCTCGGGGCCTTGTCTACCAGGTGATTGTAGAGTGTGTCAAGTCCACTACAGTAAACACCACAGGATAGGATAGGCTCCTTCTGGCTGCTGTGCAGGCGTCAGACAGGTGAGGTGTCACACAGGTGAAGTGATGACATCAGACAGGAGACAGTAGAAACGATAAAAAGTGGGTGGGCTAGGGATCTGTTTTGAAGCCAGGACCAAGCAGATTTTGGGCAGATGGGTCATAGAGTGGGAAAAAAGCAGAGATCATTTTAAGATTTTTGCCCTTAAAACATGGAATAGCCACTGACTGAGATGAAAAAGCCTTAGTTGGAAAGCGTTTTTGTTTGTGTATGGAGCTAGGTTTGGACACTTTTAACATTGAAGGGCCCAGTAGTTACCCAAGCGCAGTGAGTAGCAGGTGTTGAAGCTGTTTGGAAAAATCATTTGGGGGACATCTTTCAGGTCTCAGCAAGTTATATCCTGTCCCCAGTTATATCAGTTATACCAGTGTCTCCAGGACCCTATAATAGGTTCTTACGGAGCTGGCATGACTCTCGTCTTAGCTGACCTGAAGTCTGGAACAAAGCCAAGAAGCACGCAGCCTCGTTAGCTGGCAAAACTCTTCTTTTTCCTCTTACGGTGGGGCCGGGGGAGGGAGAGAAGTGCTGACGCCCACGGACACGACCCTGCCTCTTCCTAACCGGTTGCACAGGGCACCACCCTCTCCAGGCAGCAGCTCCGAGAGGTTCGGAATTCGGAAACTCGGCCACGCCCCTTCTGCGAACGGGCGGGGCCCACGCCTGGGCGGAGCCTCTGGGTGACACGCCACAGAGGGGGGCGTGGCCTGCCGGTGCGCGCGCCTTGCCGCGGGTGATCAGCTGGTCTGCGCTCCCCTGACGTGAGCTGGGGCACGTCACCGCCGAATGGCAGCCTCCAGAAAGCCACCGCGAGTAAGGTGAGGGGACTGTGCCGGCCGGCGTCCGGGCGCGCGAGCTGCGCACCCGGGAGGGTAGGGAACTGAGGGCGAGGAGCGGCGGGCCCGCGGCCGTCGGGGGGTGGCCACGGCTGCCGGGATCTTCCCGAGCGGGAGCCGCGGTCCGATCGGTGCAGCCCGGCAGGACCCAGCTCGCTTCCGGCGGGGCAGCGGGCACCTCCGGGCGGCCGGAGCCCGTCCCGGGTCCAGTGTGCCCGAGGAACTGCCGCGGCCGCCCGCGGCGGACGGCGATCTTCCATCAACCCCGACCCTGAGGGAAGGCCCTGCTGTTGCAGGAAGTTGGTCCCTCTGGGATCCATCCCGGGTACCCAGAGCTGGTTGTGTCCCTGCCCTCACCCTTCCTCCACCGCGGCGATATACAGTTACACCCCTGACCATTCTGATGTCTGCATTTTACCTCTTGATTCAACCCCTCCACAGAGACCGGCAGCCGTGCGGCCCTCCCCACCCAAATGTTCTTAGCTGCTGTATCAGGAAAGAGATTGACATAACCTTCCAGAAAACCCCACCAGAAGTCTGCTCTGGGTTCTCCTTGGACACAGGAAGTGAGAAGATAATTCTCAGACTCACGTTGAAAATGTTTTAGTTTATTTTCCACCAACAGCCAAGCACACTTAGTTTTATAAAGTGGGTGATGATAGGTACACAAAACCAGAATGGCAGTCCACAGAGGGGCTCACCCATCCTCTAAGACCAGTTGAGACTTGAATGAACACGCGAGGCATCGCAGCCCTACTTGTCTGTGGGATTCCGACCATGTTATGCTTGTTCTAGCGAGTGGACAGATCTCAAGCCTGCCTTGACCTGAACGTGGTCTTGTGACGGCCTGTGAAGCGCACTGTGAGGGTCGTAGTAACTGTGCACGTGGATAGCCCTTTCTGGAAGTTTTCTGCCGGGAGTAAGGTCAGGCAAGTGGACAATGATGGGATGCCAAAGCCGAGAGGAAGCTTTGAGGACCATACCATAGTCATTGCTGGATCCCTAGAGTCACAGTGTGGGGGTGGAGGCGGGGCAGTCTTTGAACCTCAGTTGGTAGGCTGAGGGAGGGGAGCCTTTTGCTCCAGGGCGCCTTCCTGAAGTGGCAGAATTTCAGTGCCGTCCGGTGTACACATGAGGACCGCCCTCAGTTTAGAAGGTAAAACTGAGCTCCCTGAAGGAGGTAAAATGGAGGTGGGTGTTAGCGAGGCTAAGGGCAGAGCCAATCCGGCCATCAGACATGTCTTCCTCTTTTTATTTTCGGCTCCAATTTGTTTCCCTCTTGCTTGGGCAGACTTTTTCCTCCTTGTAAGTGATGAGAGTTGTAGGCTGACAGTCTCATAGAAACAGCCCATGTCATGGTTGGAGCAGAAGTTAGATCTTATTCTCACTGGACTGACTTGATTGTCAGTGTTTTCTGAACTAGTTATGGCCAGAGGAGTGCACTATGGAAGCCTGCACCCACGATGGGTACATCAGGGACAGGCACTCATCTTAAACCCTTGGACTGAAATGGATAAGGGGCTTCTCAGAGTGAATACCAAGGGCGGTCATCTGATCGAGAGGGGTGGGTTTTGCCTCCTTTCCTACCTTCCTCATTTCACTGGGCATAGCTTAGCACTTGGTTCTTACTTGGCTTGAGCACTAGAGATATGCACTTCTTACCACAGACTGGGAATAGAGTTTTGACTGCAGACCAAGAATTCTGTTGGGATTTCTTTTTAAAAGGACAGGAGAAAGAAGGCAAATGTGTAGTTTTAAGTAGTTCTGGCCGTAACCACCTTATGCAGATGTGGAGCAGGGAATGTGTTCTGCACAACTCTTCCACTTACGTATTTCTTGGCTCCTCATGATCTGGAGAAGGTGTAGGCTTCAGAAGTTCTTGGGAGGGGTAGAACCCTGGGGAGGGAGAACTGAGGGGCCTGGACTCTGATTCTGTAATGCTTTAACTGAATAGTTGAAAGACTTTAATAGTCATTGAGTTGTATGACCGTCACTGATATCTAAGACATCTTATCCCCAAGTAAATTTATTTTTTATTTTGTGTATTTGCATGTTTGCATGAGTTTTATGTGCACCACATGCCTGCAGGAGCCCTTGGAAGCCAGAATAGGGCGCTGGGTCCCCTGGAACTGAAATTGCAGGCTGTTGTGAGCTGCCGTGTAGGTGCTGAGAACCTAATCCAGGTCTCCTGCAGAGAGCAGTAAATGCTTTTGACCCCTGAGCTATCTGTTCAGGCCCTTTCCCTAACCCTGGCTTCCATTCTAATCTGGTCCTCATCAGTATTTACTCTTCATTTCCCCCAGTTCTGCATTCCCTTCAGCGCTTGGCAACTAAAAGTTTATTTTGTCTCTGTAGGTTTTGCTCATTCTGGTCATTCATACAAATAGAATCATATGTTGTGTGGTTTTGTGTGTTACTGTTTTCCCCTTAGCATAATTTTGTCTTTCCCCTTTTTCTTTTTACAGCGGTGAGGATTGCGTCCAGTGCCTTATGCATACTGCATGCTAGGCAGGTGCTTTACTCCTGAGCTATACCCACAGATCTGCGAACAAGTTTCTCTGAGGCTGTTTTCAGTTGTCTTGAGTATATGCCTCAGAGCGGCATTGCATGGGTTGGATGACTATTTGCATTTTTAAAGGAACCCTCACATCATTTTCCAAAGCCACAGCACCAGTTTACATGTCCGCTAGGCTGGTGGTTCTGACTTTCTACACTCACATTCATGTTAACACATTCTTGTTATCGTCTGTGTTTTTGGCTATCTTCTTTTTTTATTTTTTAAATATAGACTAGGTATGGTGGCCCATGCGTTTAATCTCAGCACTCAGGATGTAGAGAGAGGTGGATCTTATGAGTTCAAGGCCAGGCTGGTCTACATAGTGAGTTCCAAGCCAGTCAGTTACATAGTGAAACCCTGTCTAGACAAACAAAAAACACATTATATTTTATATGTGTGTGTGTGTGTGTGTGTGTGTGTGTGTGTGTGCCTAAGTGTATGTATGTGCTGGAGTCCGCAGAGACCAAAAGAGGGTGTTGGCCCCCTGGAACTAACTGGAGTTAGAGACAATGATGTGGGTACTAGGACCGAGCCTGGGTTCTCTACTAGAGCAGTAAGTACTCTGACTGCTGAGTCATCTCCAGCCCCTAGGGTTCACCTGCCTAAGGGGTGAGAAGTGATAACCTGCAGTCTTTTCCCTTTTTTATTTTTCAGTGCTGGGGGTGGAACCAAGGGCCTCAAGCCTTTTGAAGAGCCACTTGCTTTTCCCTGAGCTACAGCCCAATCCATCATTGTTCTGTAGACTTAACGATGCTGAATGATATTGAACATCTTTTCCTCCCCCTTCCCTAGGTTTCTGAGATAGAATTGCATGCGTGTCCCATGTCTTGAGATGTTGACTTTGCTCTTTTTTTTAAATTGATCTGTCTTACATTAAATTTCCTATATTGAGCCAGTCTGTATTTCTGGCATAAAACAAATGTTTGCTCCTTTTTGTGCTGTTGCTGTGTGTTGTTGGTCATATGCTCTAATATCTATGAGATTACTTTGGACAACAAACTCAAGGCCTGTTGTATCCTGTACTCTGGTAGAGGCTTCATGGCCCTTTATTTGCTATACTTCTTTTCTGGAATGTTCTTCCTCTAGAATTGAACCTGACTAGCTTCTTTACTGTTTTTTGTTTTTAAAAGATCACTCTTTGCTAAAATGGCAGGTATTATCAGAAAGATCACCCTTAGCTGTTTCACATGGAACCAGCCTTCCTCTTTTCTCCTGGGCACCATTTCTCCTGTTTTCCTACCTTTGTAGACCAGTATCTGTTGCTCTCTCTCCCCTGGTCTGCCTCCTCTGCCCCATCATAAACAAGTCAGATATCTCATCCACCTTCATGTCTATGCTAAGTTCTAGATATGGAAGGTTCTTAGCCCATTCTTGTGTGAGCTTGATAGAGAATTCTCAGGTACCACAAATTTAGAGGGACTTAGAGCTTGCCTAGGATGCTGGTGAGCTTAGCCTGGGAAGGTACCAGATCCACGTGGAGGCCTGTATGCCTGGGATCTAGGGTCCCCATAGCAAGGACAAGAAGCTCGGGTGCAGATTTGCCTAAGAAGTTAATGTGAAAATTGAAACTGACAGTAATACTTGCATGAACTAGAACTAGCTTTTCATGGACAGTTTCAGGATAGATAAGCTTACCGAGGCCCCTCCCCCCTTTTCGAGATAACTGTTCACTGTGTAGCCCATGCATGTGGGCCCCTACTTCCCTGCTTCAAGGGTGTGTACCACATGTCTGGCTAAAGAGTAACTTCATTTCCCTGAGACAGGTGCTCAGATATCCTAGGCTGACCTTGAGTAAGCAGTGTAGGATAACTTTGAACTCCAGGCTTTACCTCTCAAGTGCTGGGATTTTGAGCATGTACTTCCTGCCTGGTTTATGCAGTCCTGGGGGTTGAGCCCAAGGCTTCCTGTGTGCTGGGCAAGGGTTCTACCAATTGAGCTACGTTCCCCCCCTTGAAGATAAACTCCCGATGAGCCACCAAGAGGGAGAAGCAGCAGATCCAATGAACACAAACGTTGCTCTCTCAGGTGCGAAGTCTGGAATAATGCCTAAATTGATCCTGCTGCTACAGGAGAAACTGAAACCAGAGAGAAAGAATAGGATGCCATGAAAAAGGAAATAGGACTAAGTAGAACCTTGTACAAGTGAAAAAAATCTTGTCATTGAGAACATAGTTACTGAAAGTATATCTTAGTCTAGTAACGGGATTAGATGTCATTGAAGAGTATTCATGAAGTGAGGGTGAGCTGAGGAGGTCTGGCTGCCGTGGAGATGTTTGACAATGGCAATCTAATGAGTCCCACGAGGAAGTGCTCCCTGCACGGAGTTGGGGGGTGGCTTATCAGAAACCTCTATGCCATCCCTGAGACCAGGGTGAGAGTTCTGACTCACACCGGAAGACTGCCCAGCCGAGGTGATGCTTCTTTGATTATTCTCATCACGTTTCCTGGAGACAAAGTCTGCAGCATTCTGCTCTTTCTCTTTAAGGGCAAACCACCAAGATTTTCAGCTGAGAAATTTAAGAATAATTGAACCTAACGAGGTGACATCCTCAGGAGACAAGAGTGTGGAAACAGGTAACAGTAATTTTGCTTCTAAATTAGATGGACTATCACAATAGTTCCTGTCCCGGCCTCAATTTGACTGTAAGGAGGATAAGGGATCCTTAATTGGTTGTGGCTAAGATGAGGATCTGGGAATTAAAAATCACAGCATTCTCTGGGCGATCAGTTACTGCATTTCGTATTTACCACTTAAATTTGTTGTGTTTGTTTATTATATATGAGTGTGCATGTCATAGAACATGTACAGGGGACATGTCAGGGGACAGCCTGTGGGAATTGGCTTTCTCCATCCACTGTGTGGGTCCTGGGACTGGAGTACAAGTCAGGCTAGGTGGTAAGCACCTGCTGGGCCATCTTGCTGACCTTAGTGCTTTTTGTTTTTTTGTTTTTCTTGTTGCTAATAAACAGAAAATTGTACTTCCTTTTTTTCATTTCTTGTTCTTTTGAGGATGGATAGTGATGGTGGTAGGTGAAGACTGTTGTTGAAATGTCTTCTGGTTCTTCTAATATCAACCTTTATCTCTAATATAGACTGTTGATTATCTTAGAAATTAGCTTTCAACCTTTTGTCAGGTTCTTAAATGAGAAAATATATTACTGTGCTGTATAAATTGAATATGCAATTAAGAAATTTTTTTTTAAATAATTCGCAAGATCAGCCCTGTTAGTTATTCATCCAGTGGTTGCTAGAAAGGTGGCAAGGAACACATTGCTATATTCCTACCCTAGGGAAGCCTTGCTTTGTGGTGGCTGCCCTAGGAGAACTGCAGTGTGCTTTCCATCCGGTCTAAGTTCCTGGTGGAGACTAATGATATTGTGTGTGATTTTATGTCTAAAAGTAGAGATTACCCAGCTCGTTTTGAGCTATATTAGGAAAAAGAGAGGGATATAGAGGAATTTTAATCCAGGAACCCCTTTGGCAAGGGCTCATTACATCCAGAGACCTTCTAGGTCTGTGTGATCTGGCTGGAATACAGATATGCCCTTAGTACACACCTTTAATCCCAAACAGTGAAGGCAAGGTTAGTTTATAGAAGGAAGCAGCCATATTTGAAAGTGATGTTTAATTGAGGGGCAGACCAAGTGATGAATCAGAGAAAGAGTTGACAGAATGAGTGAGAGATAGGATATGCCCAATTCTTACAAAGAACAGGATAGGTAAGAAAAGGCTACTTAAGAGCAGCACAGAGAGGGAGAGGGACGTTTTTTACTGAGAGTTTCTTACTGGGACAGTTTTACAGAGACAGGTTATAGAGAGAACAAGCTAGACATAGGTGAAGACAGAATGAGCCATAGAAGGAGAAGGAGCCGGAAGATTAGAATATATTGCCAGAACTAGTTTGAAGCCAGGCAGAGCAATTCAGTTAGAAGCCAAGAGAAGCCAGTTTGAATCAGCTTGGTGAGGAGTTTAGGCCAGAACAGCTGAGTTGAACCTGCCAGTGAGAGTTCAGAAAGAGCTAGAAAGGCTTGGGAATGGCTTTCATCTCATCCTTTCATCTGAGGAAATAAAAACATTTACAGAAGAAAGAAGTAGGAAAAAGAGGGAGGAAGGAATAAAGGACTCAAATACTCAAATTTGGAGTTGGAAGAAAACTTCCAACTATATAAAGGAAGTAGAGTTTCCGGGAGCTAAGGTGGTAGATGTGAGCCTGTGGTCAGAGCCTAAGGACTGATTCTGCAGGTTGTATGTAGGCTCTTTTATTAAGTCCCCTAGGAATGTTGGCAATGACTAGAGAATTTCGTAGACCTTGGGTTCTTGCTCTTGATGGTTTAGCTGACTCAGGCAACTCCCTAACTCCTTCCAACCTCTGTTCATTTAAGTGGGAAGTCTTCTTTGGAAGAATCGTAAGAATCAAGCACTAGCGTGTGTAAAGCCCTCCGCTTAGAGGGTGCTGTCATAGTGGTTTTCAAGAGCATCTGGGCATGTTCTAGGATGCTTAAATTGGCGATATCAGCCCTTCTGTTCTTATAATCAGATGGGTGGAAATCCTAGCCAGAGCTTCAGGCCCAAGGTCACTTATTTTTTGAGCTCCTTCATGTATCCTTTCACACATGTTGTCATGTTTGGCGCTAACCACCCATGAGCTATGCCTTCTGTGGGAGCAGGGAAAAGCTTTTGTGATAAAGGCTTCAGGTTTGAGAGCTTATTTCATATGCAAGAGACTTTTCAATGAGTCATTCTCTTTAAGGCATGATTTAAAAATACCTGGCAGTGTAGGCTAATGTTACATCATGGACCGGTCTGTTGCTTTTGGCTTTCTACTTCCCTGCATACTGCTCAGCTCTTGGCTGCTGCTAACATTTCTAAAATATAAAAGGATGTGGAGTGAGATGTTACAATACACCATCTTCTAAGTTCCTAGCTTTTTATCTCACTGTTCTGTAGCTTTTTCTGAAAAGATCATAGACACAACATTGTGATAGTCAGCCATCTAGATCTGCATAGTTAAGTACAGATATAGAAATGACATGTTCTCTGCTTTAGTGAAAAGCAGGATACACACTTGTTACACCATTTGGCTTGTTGCATTTCTTCTTAGTTTATTCTGTATCAGACTCTAAAATTGCAGATACTCATAAAACACTTTTTATGTACTGTGTGCTTGTAATGCTTCTCATAGAATAATTGGTTTTCATTAAAACTACTGTTTGAGACTTACCTCCTTGCTGCCTTTCCTCATGCTTCCCTAGTCCTGGGGTACATAATTGTGCCAGTTTTGACCTTCAGCTTCATTCACCTCTTCAGCCTTCAGACACTTTCATAGACTGTTGTTTTTCATGGATATGGCTGTTCAAGCATCTTTCCTTTTGTACTCTGGTAGTCTCTGGCTGAGTGAGCTGTTTCGGCTTCTACAAGCCCCTGACTTCAACCATTTTCTGATGTGTGGTCTTTACATTGCTGCCGCTACTCCTTATCATATCTGTTGATTGTACTTTAGGGAGTTTTTTCTTTTCTTTTCTTTTTTTAGTCAGGGTTTCTCTGTGTAGCCTTAGCTGTCCTGGACTCGCTTTGTAGACCAGGCTGGGCTTGAACTCAGAGATCCGTCTGCCTCTGCCTCCTGAGTGCTGGGATTATGGGCATGTGCCACCACACCTGGCAAGGGAGTTTTTTCATCATGTGTTGTTGTAAATAAAAATTATGTTGGGTTTTATGATGTTTATTATTCTTAGCCTTATGATTATTATGGTGGTATTATTTAACCCGCTATCACATCAAATGAAGACCAGACACCAGTAAATTTTATAATTGCCTTATTTACCTTGGGCTGGACAGATATTTTACCTATGCTGTCTCAATTACCTCACCATCTACCTCCCAGACCCCATCCAATGCCATCTGCCTTAACCATCCTTATCTGGGCTACTTTCTATCCAAAATCTTATAAATACTTGCTTGTATTCTTCATCTGGGCATTTCCACAACATTACTGGAGTCCTTCCTCCAGGCCCATGGGATTTCTTCTTTATGCTAACCCATCATGATGTCTTCCTCCCTCCTCTCTTCCCATCTGTCTCTTTCCCATGATTCTTCTGTTCCCAATGCCTGGGAACCTTAGCCATGCCTATCCCCTTCTGCCCTGCCCAGGTTTTTGGCCTTTCAATCAACCAATCAGGTATAATATCCTAGGCAGTTTTATACAACAAGAATAGGTGAATCCAGCAGTAACCAGATCTTGTTGGCCAGTAATTAGTATCAAAATACAAACATCAGACCAACTTCCAACAATCATGTTCAAGGATACAGATGACAAAGAAGTTGCTACATTTGACCCAAAACAACAACCGGTGTGAGGATACTGAAGGATAAGAAGACAGGAACAGGGGAAATATTGAGAATAGTAATGGGGTCCAAAGATATGGTGGATGGAAGTGAATACACTGTTGTAAGAAATTGATGATGCTCATGATCCTAATAAGGCCTGACATGTCAATCAAAGAGAGGGATGTAGTGATGAGGCAGGAAATAGTGATGAAGGCCAGGGGCTATGTGGGACTATGCACTTTGTTGTGAACCTGTAGCTGCTCCCAAAGATAAAATGTCTATTAAAGAGTGTGGAGAGGTAGTGGTGCTTGCTGTAAAATATGATGACTTAAATCGGATCCTTGGGACCCACACTGTGGGAAGAGAACTTTCCCTGCAAGTTGCCCTCTGACTTCCATGTGCACATGCACGCATACACACTCAAACAAATAAATGTCATTTAGAAATTTAAAGAAATACTTTGAGCTGGGTATGGTGGTGCACATAGTTCCCAGCACTCAGAAGTCTGCAGAATTTTGAGTTCCAAACCACATACTTGATGAGATCTCCAGCAACAACTGAAATGACAGCAAAACAAACAACAACCCTTCCTTAAACAAATCCCTTATTATTCTGCTTTGACCCCTACTGTTCTGCCCAGTTTGTGAACCCCAAAAGACCAGGAATGAACAGACTCCGCTGTAAATACATGAGGTTCTTTTTATTGTAAATTACAAGCTGCAGCTTGGGCCCACACCCCCCACAGCCAAAGCGGTGGGAGCCGAGCTCCTTGTGCCCTGGTTAGTTGGGTGATTTAAGGATTCTGGTCCATCCCAGCATGCCCAAGGCAGGGGCGATTCCTGCCTGGCAAGCATCTATTGGTCAAAATGCTACATTTTGAATTGGGTGGCTATAGAAAGGTCCCCAGACCAGTAATGACCTGGTATTCCTCCCTAGGGGGATGGGCCAGTTTCCTAGCAACTGTATCTCTTGTGGATGGGGAAAGAATGCAGTAAGCCGGTCCTTCCCCTCAGGGAATTCCTGGACTTCTCGACCCACCTACTTCAGGTCTTAATTAATAGCTGTTAATTTTTAATCTTTTGGTCTCTCACTAGCATTCTAGTTATGTTTTATGCTAGTAATGCATGGGCTTGAGGGCCTTGTGCTTGACCACAACTCTGTGCTGGCCTTTTGTGAAGTCATGGGTGAGGTTGCTAGAGGACTGTGGCTAATAAAGCCTCATCTATTTGGTGTTGGTGTCTGTTGAGAAAAGGGTTTTTTTTTTTTTTTTTTGAAAAATCTACTAAGCAGCGGCTGGAGAGATGGCTTCATGGTTAAGACTCAGGCTACTCTTTCAGAGGACGCAGCTTTTATTCCCAGTGCCTACATGGTGGCTCACAGCTGGCCGTAAGTCCAATTCCAGGGACTGTGACACCTTCTAACCTCCAAGGGCACTAGGCATGTGCATACATATATGCAGACAAAACATTCATATACATAAACTAAATAAGTCTAAAAAAGTTGACAGTTCCATATATTTATATAATTAATTTTAGTCATTTTCCTCCCATTGCACAAATCCCCCACTTTCTCAATCAAGCCTTTCTTCTCATTAGTCACCCTCCTTCTTTCATATGTATATGATATCTATCTATCTGTCTGTCTATCTATCTATCTATCTATCTATCTATCTATCTATCTATCTATCTCATATATATCTTAAACTAAGTGGATCACATATGTATGTGTTATGTGTGATCCACTTAGTTTAAGTGTTGCTTGCACCAGTATGGGTGAGATATTATTTATTGAAGCATAGGCAGGTATCAGTGGCTATGTCACTGAAGAAAATTACACCCTTCTCCCAGAAACCAACTGCCAGTAGTCTCTTGGAGGTGGGTGGGGCCTTGTTGACAGGCCCAGTCTTGTGTGTGTCTTCAGTGGATAAGCACGGCTGCAGTGAGAGAGTGAGTGAAACGGTTATGCCGTGTGTTCTGTGTCTCCATCCTGGCTTTTGTAGTCTTTAGGCCCTTCTTCTGTGATGTCCCCTGAGCATTGGAGTGGGTGATACAAATGTCCCATGCAGGGCTGAGCACTCACCATCACTACTCTTGGCACTTTGGGGTCTCTGAGCAAGCCATGGGGAGCAATCCAGTAAGCAGCACCCTTCATGACCTCTGCATCAGCTCCTGCCTCCAGGTTCCGGCTATGTTTGTGCTCCTGCCCTAACTTCCTGTATTGACACACTTTGAGATGGAGCTCTAAGCTGAAATAAACCTGCTCTGTCTCAGGTTTCTTTTAGTCATGGTATTTTATCACAGCAATAGAAACCCTAAAATTAAAATACCCCAAAGTAACCACTTGTAATACATGGGTGATTGAAATTCTAGAAACTTCTTTCTGCATATGTACATTTTAAAATACAAGTTTAAAGTAAAATAATCTACATATGCCCTTTCAAATATGCCCTTTGTAATTACTCACCGGGCCTAGATATCTTCCCAGTATACAACCACACATACACCTATGTAATATTTTCCAAAGTCTATATAATTTTTAGCGGCTGTTCCGTATTATGCATTATAGTTTATTTAGCCAATGCTGTATCCTTCTGTTTCTTCCACAGCTATAAACAAAGGTTGACACCTATATTTTTATATACCTGTTTAACTATCCACTTAGAATAATGTTCTAGAAGTGAAAGATAATCAGGAAGCAGTTTGGAAGTAGCATTTAAAAACTGTAAACAGAAGTATCCCTGGCTGCTTTGGGCTTGGTCTGGTGGTGGAGTGGTCAGTTTAAAGATGAAGCCTTAAGAGGATGGAATAGGAAAGATGCCCTCCTTTAGCTTACTAGTCATTGAATTTCAGGGGCCAGGCCAGCTTTCTAACTAACTCTCCTGTTGTTGCAGACCACAGGATGGCTCCAAAGGTGACTTCAGAGCTGCTTCGGCAGCTGCGACAAGCTATGAGGAACTCTGAATATGTGGCAGAGCCGATCCAGGCCTATATCATCCCGTCAGGAGATGCCCACCAGGTACCAAAGGGAGATGTCAGAAGAGAGGACCCACAGCCCCCCTTCTTTTCAGCCTTCCCTCAGCTCTAACATGTTTATAGACTTCTGTTGGAAACCCGTGAGTGAGTGTGTCTTTGGGAATGGACGTAGGAGTGGTATCTGAGTAAGTCTCACTGAATGCTGCCTTCCTTGTTCCCAGTGAATTTACCAGCTTTCAGTAAATTGTGAAGAAATCAGTGTGCAAACTAAGAGCATAAGTTCCGGAACTTTCCATTGCTGATCCCACTGCTCCTGCCAGGCTCTGAACCCACTTCTCTTTTGCATCTCTCAGCTCAGGCCCCACACCTCTAGTATTGCTGGGAGCTAGTTAGAAAGCCATCATGGAGCTCCATCTTAGTAGTAATTAGTGGATCCTAGGGCTAACTTGATGTGGGCAAGTCCGAAGGCATGTGACTGCCCACCCTGTGCCATGCTACTCAAAGGCTACAGAGATGAATCTGGAAGGCTGGACTCCTGCTGTCACCATGGCTCTAGTTCAGTGAGAAAAGAAAGGGTACAAAGTGTCTCCCTGAATAGAGGCTTCTGTGAGTTTATTTTTCCAGCTTTGCTTATGTGCAAGGCACTACCTCAGCCGTTGTGTCTCATGCCAACAGGAGAATTGATTTCTGCCTTAAGAATCAAACAGTTTAGTAGTGGGGTTACGTTGTATGTGTGTATAGCTGGCGGCATGGCTCAGTGGTTAAGAACAGATCGTCCAGCAGAACGGAGTTTGATTCTTAGTGTCCATTTTAGGCAGCTCACTGCTGTCTGTAACTGAAGTTGGGTTATCTGATACCACGCCTTGCCTCTCTGCAGGTACCCTTATGCATGTGTGCACAGTCATCCAGAGGCATGCACACATTTAAAAAGAAGTGCATGCATGTATCTTCTGTAAGGGGGAATGCTGTAACCACAGTGGAGGAAACTTGATCAGGCCGTAGAAGAGAGGGTGATGGTGGGGGATTTGTGAGACAGGCCAGCACCTGCACTGGAGCTCAAAGGGTAGACAGTGTGGGAAGTGGAAATGGGGGTGGAGAAGGGAAGGGCTCCAGGTGGGAGGGTTAAGAGGAACAAACCCAGAGAAGCAGAAAACTTCTTAGAAGTAGCGTGGCCGGTTTCCCTGGCCAGGTATCAGGGAGGTGAAGAGCATTAGTGGGAGATAGGGCTGGGTTTTAGGGTTCCTCGGTTGCTCATGGCAGAAGCTGCTCCTGAGGCTCAGTGGACAAGATAAATGCTTTGTGAGGGTTCAGACCAGTGGTTCTCAACCTGGGGGTCAAATGACCCTTTTACAGGGGTTGCCTAAGACCATCTGGAAACACAGATATTTACATTATGATTCATAACAGTAGCAAAATTACAATTATAAAGTAGCAAGGAAAATAATTGTATGGCTGGGGGTCAGCACAACAGGAGGAACTAATGAAGGGTCACAGTGTTAGGAAGGCTGAGAACCTCTGCTCTCGAGGCAGACACTGCACTGGCAGTGCCTGCTTCTCAGGCTTCCTTCTGGAGTTACGCTGGCGAGGAATGCTGCTGGCCGTGGGCAAGAGTGGGGGAGGGGCCAGGGAGGAGGGATTCTGCTTTTAATCTACATCATTTTTTTCCCCCCTGGGCCAACAGGCAGGTTACAGAGCAGGTAGTATAATCTGGACAAGTGCTATGCTTTCATTTCCTTATCAAGACACCTGACTGAGGTTCATCCCGGGTCCAGAGTCTCAGGTCTGGGTGTGATTGCTGTGGACCCTTGCTCTTCCTCTCTTGTGGACACTTGGGCCCCACGTGGAACAGACATGTGACTGGGACCCTGAGGGCAGGAGGCTAGCGAAGGTGTGACTGTACCATGCTAGATCCGACCTCTACTGTGGTAGAAGGCTCTCCACGTGCGTTCTGAGCTGCTCTTGTGTTGTCAGAGTTGTTCAAACGTGTATTCTATGATTTCAACAGTGAACTGAGCTGTAGTATCAGAGTCCACCAGCATGATCATTTAGAATGTGTAGGGCTGTGTTTTTAAGAATATGTACACACTGCTACATAGCAGGTTTCCATCTTGCAAAGCAATAAAAACTTTGCCTATTAAAGGGCCTTTCCGTTCCTCCCTGCTCTATTACTCACCATTATATTTCCAGTTCTAAGAGTCTGACTACTTCAGATGCTTCCTGAGCCAGAACTATATGCTTGCCATTTATGACTAGATTGCTTTGCTAACAGTGTCCTCAAGGCTGTAGGCACATGACAGAAGCTGACAGATGTGGGTGATAGGGTTTCCCCAACTCTCTCTTGCTTTTCCCTCCCCCTCTCTCTTTTCCTACCATTTGCTCTCCTCCCCTGACTCCTCTCTTCCTAATACTTGTACTTTATTGTGAACCTTGACCTCCAAGGGCAGCCTGGTACAGAAGGGTCTGAGCCTCACCATACCTCCAGTTAAATCGAAGTGCGTGGCTCAGGCCGTGTGTCTGTGCGCTTGGGTTCTGTTCCTGTAGCCCAGGGTTCGGCTACACTCTGTACTATCTGTGTGTTCACTGGTAGACAACATTCTCATAGCTTATCCGAGCCAAGTTTATCTTGGTGTTCTTAATCTTGGTTCTGTTCATGAGACAATTTTTTCCCCTTTACTACCACCTGTTTTTTCTGTGTCCCATTGAATTTTACATACCTTCAACTTTGCCATTAAGTGTGGCCCCATATACCCTCTGGGAATGATAGCAAGGCTGGCCAAAGGACAGGCTGCTGCAGTTGACTCAGCCCTTCAGCTGATGATCCTGGAATCTCACTGTTGATATTACTCAGTAAGGACGCTAAGCCTCAAACCTCAGGAAAATGCACCATTTAGCAGCATCCTAAAAACAATAAATCAGGCTTGCTTAGTGCTAGTCACTAATTGCAGGAGTTGCTGTCCAGAGTATACAAATATATATATATATATATACACATATATATGTGTATATATATATATGTGTGTGTATGTATATATATATTAAAGAAAAAAAATTTTTTAATTGAGGTCTCACTACACAGCCTTTGCTGGCCTGGAACTCACTATGGAGCCCAGGCTGGCCTTGAATTAATTTTTAATTATTTTTAAGTGTTTGTATGTGTGTGTGTGTGTGTGTGTGTGTGTGTGTAAGAGAGAGAGAGACAGAGACAGAGAGAGACAGAGAGATGTATGTATGAGCATGTGAGTACCCACAGAGGCCAGAGGCCCGAGGTGATCCCCTGGAGCTCCAGTTCCAAGCTTGTGGTTGTGAGCTGCCAATTGTGGATTCTGGGAGTTGAACTCAGCTCCTTTGCAAGGAGTAGCAATCACTGTTAACTGCTGAGTGGTGTGGCTAGTCCTGGTCCTTGATCCTCAGTCCTCTTGGCTTAACCTCTGGACTGCTGGGATGGCAGGGCTGTGGCACCACGCCCAGTGTGCTTCTGTGCTTTGCTGTCCTTCTATCTTCCCACCCCTCTGCTGCTGTTCTTTCATCCTTCACTGGCTTTTTCATTGCTGTAACTTAGCGGCCTGTGATGGATTTGTAGGGAAGCTGAGCTTTGTTCTTTGCCGTTTCTACCTGCCTGCTCAGGGGCTGACCTGGACAAATGCAGGGACAGGTAGCTCCCATGTGGGCCTGGGGGCTGGTCAAATGCTTGGATGCCAGATTTCCCGCTTAACCAGTCGCTCAGTTGTTATTGTTAGACTCTGAGTCTCATCTTACCTGGTCTAAGGGGACAGTGACATGGGAGTCACAGGGCTGCTGTCAGCAAGTACTTACAGCAGGTCTGCCTTTTAGGTCTCATTGTCTGAGCTGCTTTTATTGTTGTTATTATCAGCATTATAGAAGCTAATGAGAGTTCCCTTAAGAGTAAAAAGTAGACAAGCCACAATCAGAGATGTGAACACAAAAATTGCACATGTTGTAGGGAAGGGTTTAGCTAGCACCATCCAGGAGAAATTTGTGAGAGTGTGTAACTTTAAATCTTTAGTCACATTATAATAAGGTATACATACATACTTAATGAATAATTCACTACGGTGTATCAGAAGAATTAACATTTTCACATATCAGTGTAAGGAGTATAGATTACTTTTTATAGGTATGTTTAAATATGGTACTTTATGTTTAGAAACACCTCAATTTGAATATGTGGGTTTGAGTATTTGATCTGTATTTACCTTTCGTTAGATTCATAGTTGACACAGTAGACTCACACACCCAGGCTGTTCTAAGCATCTAGGTTTTCTAATGATTGAATCTTGACTATCGGTTTTAAAATTATATTGCATTGATTAAAGTGAAATAAAATTAAATACTTAAGTTTTCAGTCTAATAAGTAGCTAATAGTAATAAGCTACTTTTTCAAGTAGTTCTATGTAGCTCGGAGCTCCTAGCATTCATAGTGTTAGCTTATATAAGTATGGAATGCATTTCTACGTGAGAGAGACTTTTAAGACAGCAGGATTAAGGAAGGCTTCCTTGAAGAAGCCCATTTTTAAAAATAAGTTTATTCATTTATTCATTTTACATCTCGGTCATAGCCCCCTCCCTTCTCCAGTCCCACCCTCCCACCTTTTCCCCCTTTCCTCCCTCCTTTTTTCCTCAGAAAAGGGAAGCCCCCCTTTACAAACCCACCCTGGCCCATCAAGTCACATCACGACTTAGTACACCTTCTATTGAGGCCAGACAAGGCAGCCCAGCAAGGGGAAAGTGATCCGAAGGTGGGCAACTGAGTCCATGTCAGATATGACCCATGCTCCCCTTGTTGCTAGGGGGCCCACCTGAGGACCAAGCTGCCCATCAGTTACATATGTGTCATGAGCTTAGATTCAGTCCATTCGTGTTCTTTGGTTGGTGCTTTAGTCTCTGTAAACCCTATGGGCCTATGTTAGTTGACATTGTTGGTCTTCTTGAGTGGGTCTTGTCCCCTCCAGGACCTTCTATCCTTCCTCACACTCCTCCATGATTCCCCTAGGTCCATCTGATGTTTGGTTGTAGGTCTCAACA